CGCCTTTGGACCACTTGATAAGTATAGCGAGACATATGTTCACGATAAACGCTGAGATGCGCGTCAGAAATAAGCGGTCCAGTCGATGGTTATCCATTACACACCAGATAATCGGACTAGGAATCCCTGCATATCAGGATCCCTCTCGTCGGATACGAAGCAGTCAAAGTATCTCAACACCTCCCGCGTCTCCTCCGGCGAGAAGTTGAGTTTGAAAAGTACCATACTCGTGGAACGGAGCGTTGCCTCGACGACCGCACGAGTGTAGAAGACCACGACAAGATGTAGATGCGAATGGAAGACTTTATAGCACAGGTATGATATCCATCGTGATCGGAGACGGGGGTAACCCAGACGCGATACCGTTTGCCCGATCAACAGTAATCTGATCTACGTGGAGCAAGGAGTGAAGGAAGTGATTAACGAGAAGGATTGATCACAGGATAATCCGGACAGTTCCTGTCATTTGGCTTGAAGTCGGGGCATCGTCATTGCCGTAAGTTGGGGCAAGCGCACGCTCGCTGAGATTGTGATGCCTGGTGCAGTGATAGGGCTCCTGCGGTTCCAGGAAACCAATATCTGACATTCAGAGCGTGGTATCCAAGTCGGGTTTAGCGCCGCTGAAGTCAGTACGCCACCCCTATAGCGCTTCAATCAATTCCTATCGAAATGATTAGTTTCTATGTAACTCATTGTAGGGCGGTGTTGCCTTGTACGCCGTTCAACCGGGATTATCGCGAAAATCACATCACGCCTTGTACAGCCATCTTCGGTTCCTGTGAAGTAATTCGAGACGGTCACAAGGTTTCGAGTACGTGTGAGGCGAGTCGCGTAGAATTATGGCTAGGTTCCTTTTCTAAGTATCGCGGGTACTTCAAGATTCCTGGAGGAACGTCAATAGGAATGTAGAAGAATAGCAACGACACAAGATATAGAACAAGGTGGAGGCGAATGAAAGTCGTAGCACAGGTATGATATCCATCGTGATCGAAGCAGACGGAGGAAACCCAGACGCGGTATCGTTCGCCCCATCGACAATCAGCACTTCTGTGTGGAGCAAGGCATGAAGAAAGTGATAAAAGAGAAGGATATATTATGGGATAGTTCTCGTGGTCGGAGCATGCCCAATTCCGTAGGCTGGAAGCAAGCGCGCGCTTGCAGAGAGTGATTCTTTGTGGACTGGTAGGCGGTGCAGTACCGGTAGGCCAATACATGAGCTGGGAACCGAAGCTGGGTTTAGCGTTGTTTACCGTGCAGCGTTGACTGTCTTCTACGTCGTCCAATGGGAGTACCATGAAGATGACGACTTGTTTTCGAATCCTCTGGACTAATTCGAGCTTTCGGAAATGGTGTCAAAGTTCCGAGTGTCGACGAGTGAAGCAAACCGCGAAAGAGCTGTATGATACTTTCTTGCTCCATTTAGTTCGTGCTTGGTGGACATCTTTCGAGCGTAGGCGTACGTTGAGTAGATAAGGTAAGATGATCGGCTGGACGCGTCACCTTCGTGGCCACATGGCTTATCTCACACACGTGATGTGATGTTCATGTTGACGCGACGCGTTCGACCCTGATCACGCACTGCCAAATAGGGATTCCTTTCATCCTTTCATTCATTCGTCCTGCCTCATTCCCCCCATAAGCATCGCCTCCACTCAGCAGCCCGCCATGCGAGTAACAGTGAAGAACTACCACGCCGTCGCACAGTGGCAGTGGGACCTAGGGGCTGGAGATCGCACGGAAGAGGAAGAGGACGTCTGTGGTATATGCCGTGTGTCCTACGAGGGATGTTGTCCTGCGTGCAAAGTCCCGGGCGACGATTGTCCGCTTAGTGCGTATTCTGCATCTGTGGTGTGTCGTTCGTCAGAGCTGATTAGACGGAACTGATAGTCTGGGGCGAATGCTCCCATGTCTTTCATATGCACTGTCTCTTGAAATGGATATCGACTGTGCCGTCGCGGCAGCAGTGTCCTATGGATCGTCGCCCTTGGGGTACGTGCTTTCACATCGTTGTCCCTTCCACTTGATTCAGCCTCCTCGACGTTTCGCCCACAATACTCACACTCTTTCCAGTCACCGCCGAACGAAAGATTGCTGCACCTAGTACTTGAACGCCCAATACGGCTTTGTATCATTAGTGTAACACTGCCCACGTGCATATGTATTTCGTTCAACTGGATTTCCTCCATATCTTCTAGCGCCTGGCGTGATGCGAACTCGTTTCCCCGATTGTGTTGGCATATGCCGCGCTGAGAGCTTTCGCTGTCGTAGCTAGTTTACCGTTGACGTTGGTCTGGCACTCGCATATACCATCATGAATGACCTTCCAGATGTAGGTGCATGCTGTTTACAATGGATCACCTTCGGCACATCTTCCGCAACTACAACGGCATATGAGTACCGGACGCCCATGCCCAGGTGATTTGAAGCGCCACCTGGGTTGGTGAAAGTTAGTAACTCTACTCCAATCTCTCGGCTGTCCTCTCTGCATAGAGGCGGCAAACCCCCAACGGTCCATTCCGGACCGGGCAGATTGACCTCTTGCTTTCCTGCTCCCATCACAATCTCACCTACCCGACATCTGCTTTCGCTCTTCTCCGCCCTAGTGCCAAAAATAGCCATGAACGTTCTAAGAACCAAAATTAATCCGAATCGGAACCAAAATACACACCAACGCCCGCCCAAGACGCGACCGCCGTCTTCCTCCGTCACCCGGATGAAGGAAAGCGCGTAGCGTTTCGGGAGCAGTCGGCTGATGTGCACGGATTTGGGGCTCATCCATGGCCCGTGGTGGGAAAGGAGGGATGGATCGGGCACCTGCGTCGAGGGAATGGTCTGCTGACCGGGTTCCTTCGACATGGGCGCGGTGAAGGATGTGCCGTGGGCGTGGGTTATAAGCTTGGGATTCGTTACCACTCTCTCATCACATTTCTTCTCTCTCGCTCGATATGAAGGTGAGCGCGACTTTGGTTTGCAAGGAAAACCTCGGTGATGTGAATGGCGCGTGAAGGTTTTAGCTATTCTGTACAACGGCTTCAAGGCTGCACAGCAGGAGCCCCGGCTTCTTGGGACTGTCGAGAACAAGCTCGGCATTGCGAAATGGCTCTCGTCCCAAGGACATGAGTTAATCGGTATGTGCTATCATCTGTTTTACAAGCCTTGCTTACACCTTGTCCAGTGAGTGTCTGTACCAACCGAGATGTGTATTAATCTCAACAAACGGCAGGTGTCGAGTAGCAAAGAGGGTCCAGACAGCGACTTCCAGAAGCATATCGAAGATGTACGTTGCCATTCATTCATTCCGATAATACGCCTACTGAGCGCGAATACCTCGCAGGCCGAGATCCTAATCACCACGCCATTCCACCCAGGTTATCTAACGCGCGATCTCATCAGCAAGGTACGCGTAACTCCTCTCCCAGCTAATAGCAATGTCACTTACCCTTCCGTAGGCGAAGAACCTCAAGCTCTGCGTCACCGCCGGCGTCGGTTCCGACCATATCGACCTGGACGCGGCCGTAGAGCGGAACATCCAAGTCCTCGAAGTCTCCGGCTCCAACGTCACCTCGGTCGCGGAGCACGCTGTCATGAGCATCCTCGCACTCGTGCGCAATTTTGTTCCAGCCCACGAGGTGCGTGTTTCTGTCTTGGCCATCTTGAGAAGGCTCTGACGAGCTAAACAGATGATCGAGCGCGGCGACTGGAACGTGTCGGACGTCGCGCGCAATGCGTTCGATCTCGAAGGAAAGACTGTCGGGACGATTGGGGCTGGACGGATTGGGTACCGTATTCTGCAGCGCCTCGTGCCGTTTGATACGAAGGAGCATTTGTATTACGACTACAATGCGCTCCCGGCTGCTGCGGAGAAGGAGGTGAAGGCGCGCCGGGTGGAGGATATCAAGGAGTTTGTGTCTCAAGTACGTCTTCTCTCCTTCTTTCACAAAGAAAATGATTTGATGGACTGTGATAATAGTGCGACGTCGTGACAGTCAACGCGCCGCTGCACAAGGGTACACTAGGGCTCATCAACGATGAGCTTCTCTCGCACTTTAAACCCGGCGCATGGCTCGTCAACACTGCGCGCGGCGCCATCTGCGACGCTGATGCTGTCGCGCGCGCGCTGAAGAGCGGGCAACTCAACGGATATGCTGGTCAGTCATCATCATATTTGCTCTATTCGTCAATCCACTGAACCCCCTCTAGGCGACGTGTGGAACGTGCAGCCCGCGCCCAAGGATCACATCTGGCGCACGATGAAGAACCCCCTCGGGGGTGGCAACGGTATGGTGCCGCACTACTCTGGCACGACTTTGGTGCGCCCTTTCTTAACGCTTCGAAGTACTGCTAGATTGTAATATTGCACTTAAAGGACGCCCAAGCACGCTATGCGGCGGGAACGAAGAAGATCATCGAAAACTACTTGACAGGCAAGCCGCAGGAGCCCCAGAATATCATCGTCGGGCTGGGCAAGTACGAGACGAAGGCTTGTGAGTCGTTTCCTATCAACGATTCGTATGTGACTTTTGTTGATGCGTTCTGATTTTCTAGATGGGCAACGATGATGTTGGAATTTATACGATGTTACTTAGAGTTGTGCACAATCTGTCTTTCATCCTCCCAGATACATTCCTCTCCGAGGCTCAAGTTATCATGCTGAGTCGTTGGATCCTAATGCTAATGAGAGTGCGTCATAAGCTGGTTGAATGAAATAAGTTGGAGTACGTACTTTAAATATTACAGATCAAGCTGAACGCAGACGAATGAATCTGCCGGGAGTTGTATGAAAGGTTATGATAATCGTTCTACAGTATTTTGGGGTATGCCACATTCTATTGCGCGGGGTGATGCAATAAGTAATGCCGGGGTGGCGCAGTGAAAAGGTGGCAGGACCAATGTGACATGAGGGCGCCGCGGGGTGACAACATGACGTGGCCACTATTAGTGTCAACATCGCCTCAAGTTCTACTGTGGCGTAATAAAAGTTGAAGTTTATGCTATACAAGTTCCCGCTAGCCGGATTGAACGACTGACCTCACCATTCGGTCCATACGAGTGGCGCGCTCTACCACTGAGCTAAGAGGGATACAGGCAAGGCGTAGAGAATTATAACCCTAATGTGCGCAAAATGTCTCAAAACCAAACTGTACAAGAAAGAGTGGATATTATTCTAATACAGATTGGATTTGCTCTGCCCCTTCTCCTCGCTCAGACTCTCACAAGAAGCGCTGCAGATTTCATTTACTCCAACTACTCAAACAACGGCAAGGGAAGCAAATAAAATTCGACTCATCGACCTCCAACTTGCTCAACCATTACATCGATAGTGTCTGTCAAGAGATATTGTGAGCATGGTAAAAGACATGAATGAGAGCAGCGTGCAAGACAAGCCCGAGAAACAAAGACGAAAGACGAAAACTCACCATTCTCCTCCATATCAAGGCTCGCGGGTGTGTCGTCATCATTTATCCGCTCGCCATCGTATAAAAATCTGATTATGGAGTGAGCAGGACGAGGGGATGAAGGAGGAGGGAAGACACGTACCGGATACTAGCAACGTCCTTTCCAATCTTATTCGCGTACGCGCCTTGTAACTTTTGCAATTTCGTACTACGTTTGATTTTGAAGAAAACTTCTTCGCCAGAGGACGCGACAACCTGGGTGGGGAGTGTCAACGGGGGACGAGGAAGGGAGAATAGCTGTGCAAGTGATGGTGTGGCGTGCGATGAAAAGAATGAGTGCGCCGATTCGCTTGAATTGGACCCGAACGCCCACGACGACGACGCAAACATCCATCCTGACCTCTACTCCTGCTAGTGAGCCCATCCATCCAGCAGCGCGCGCCCATTTACCCCAACCCAAGCCCAAGTCGTGATACAAGGAGAACGCAAAGACGACCCACCTTGACGCTAATCGGGGCATTAGGATCCTTGTCAGCCTCCGTGTCCGGCTTCACGTCCTGCTGGGACTGCTGCTGCTGTTCTTCGTCCGACATCGTCTTCCTTTCTTTTCTTCTGTCGGCCTTTCACGTTGAAATGTCGTATCCCCGTACTTGGGAGGTCTGTCCGTCTGATGCGGGGTATGCTGGATTCGCGCGGCGTCGGCGTCGGCTTCAGCGTCTGTGCTGCACTCGCGCGATGCTGTGGGAGTCGAAAAGCAGGCACACACGCACAACCGCTATCCCCGCCGATTGCGTAATCCCGGCGGCACGTGTTTAGTGAACCCCTAAGTTTGCCTCGCTACTTTCTTCTCCCTTTGCTTCGCTTTTCTCGTCCAATGACCTCTTTGTTCGCGGTGAAACATACAGGTCCGGAAAGCTCAGTCTTGACAACCCGTGTCCTCAGTCCAATATATTCAGATTTGACCGTTCATTCTCGACGGTTTTCTTAGTTCTCATTATATCTTCGGCTACTGGGAGAAATGACAACTTCGGTCGCCGCGAAGGACAAAGTCGACGTCGACCTTGCAGTACGAAGTGCGCTTATCTGCATTCTTTTGATGAACAAGCACATCATGTACAGAGTGCGATTGCTTTGCTCTCGGGGCCCTTAGCGTTGGTACGCAGCAGATTGACCTGGATACGCATCGTGAACCTGACTGAATTTGAAGGAGACCACTGTATGTTCCAGCACAAGTACGATAACTCATTTTTTCGACAACCATAAGTATTTACTTTTGCGAAATAGACGAACAAGGTTCCAGGAAGGGATAGAGAGGTGGATGGAGTCATGCACATTTATGCATCACTCTTCTACATAGTCGTCTCTTTCGTAACGATAGGATTGCTGTTTTGCCACGTGAACGGTCGTTCTCAAAGTATGTCCTTGATCCATGGTACACCAGCTGTAACGACATACGCTTCTACAGCCCTCAGAACTCAATAGCAGGCTTCCCTCCAGGTGTCGTGAAATACTATGTTCAGGTAAGTGTCCAACATTGGTACACAATTACATCTCTCCGTGTTACAAACAGCAAAATCCCACTGCCAGTCTCATGATCGTCGTAAAGAACACTATCTGTGATGCTTTCCTATAGAGCCATCATTCGGTTCATGCGTCATGCTTACGGTCGTCCGGACCACCCTTCGCTTTTGTTATCAAGCTCATAGTTGAAGAATGTACGTTACGGCTTTGTCAAGATTTATCAAAAGGTGGGATGCATGCCAGTGTTCAATCGTTTCAGGACTCAAGTAGTATTTTTAGTCGGTTCTCGATCAACAGCAGATTAGTACAGTAAGTATTCGATCTGGGTTTCTCCTATCGGATGACGAAGAAAGCTGAGTTAGGCACTATTTAAACCTCTTGACTGAACGGTCATGTCACTGTACTCGCGCCCATCGTTCCTCCAGCCCGCCATCTGCACTTCATCTCTGCCCGCCTTGGCGACTTTTTCTCTGCTCGTCTTTTCTGCTCTTGCCGTCTATCGCTCGCTCGAACACACGCCTCTCAGCGTTTTACTCTCTTGTGCTTTCACCTGCGCCGTTATAATCATCATCATGTGCGTCGTGTTCCGCGCTCAAGCCTGAACCCCATCGCTAACACCTTATTCGTATAGGCGAGTAGTAAAAGCGGTAGCGACTTCGGTCATGGACATGGCTTTGCAGCCATCCGATGATTGCCCAAATCGTATCGTCGAAGTACCGCGTCCCATCGGCCATCCTCTTCCAGCGCGCCCATTCCCTTTGCCCGTACCGACTTTGCCTAGAATTCAGCGCTCATCATCGTCGGACAAGACACTCATCCCATCGACTGCAAAGGCGGTTCATCCAGACGAAGCGTTATTGAGGTTTGGCGAACGGCGAGGCGCCGATGGAGGGAATCTATGTCAGCCAACTACCATCCTCCTTGATGCTGATTCAGGCGATGTGTGGATCCCTCGTATGGAGAACGAGGGGAGACTTCTGGCTCGTAGAATGGGGAGACGGGGAAACATTATAAGTGAGCAGGACCTCCTTCGCTCTCTGGAATCGAAGAATCGATGGTTCTGTTGAATTCTATTCTGCATGTCTGACTTCGCCAATTTACCGTACATTTATTTAATGCGATACCTGTTTCCTTCGTTCCCGTTGTACCTATCTCAGTCACTGTCAATCTGAATCGAAATTGGCAATTTATGGAGAGCAACAAACGTGCAGCAGTTTCTAGCTACCTGTAGGTAATCCACATCCGTATACCCTTTTTCACCAATGCCTTGAACATGGCCGTGTGCTCATCCCTCGGAATCTCATCGTCCCACTGCTTCGTGTACGCTGCAATACCGGCTTATCCAAGCCTCGCGACGCGATCCTTCTTCGCAACATCTGCAGAACGCAACTGGATCAGTCGCTTCACATCTGTCAAATGTCGGGGAAGTACAGCAAGCCTAAGGACTGTCAATGCGGGTAAAGGAAGACCTTCGCCGCCCTTGGTCTTCGTAGAAAGATAGAGACGATTGACATCGGAATGCGCATGTCGCTTCCCGTGATATCACTATCGTTGAATAGGTTCAGCTTAAAGTAACGAGGCCGTCTGCGCCGAAAGAATTTCCAAAAGCGTTTGTCGTGCACTGGGCATCCGCGGAATCCACGCTCTGTCACGTCAAGCTAGACTATTTTGTAAGTAATGCCTAAGCCCTGTCTGTCCGCTAGACATGTCAACGCGATAATGGAGACGCTAGACAGCTTGAGTGTCTCGATCACGGAGCCCGGTCGAGTAGCTTCGTCGCTGACATCAACCCGGGCAGTTCGCACTCGACTGGCCTGAGAGATCTTGGCGTCGTCCATGATCGACACGAACTCCGGCATTGTTTCCCCTCCAGGAGTGATCCTGATGGAAATGCAGTCTGCCCTTGGAAATAAGCGAATGAAAGTCTGCAGCGAGGGACACGTATAAATGCCCTCTTCATTGAAATGGAAGATAAGGTGCAGAGGGAGAGCAGACGTGCCTCTATCCTTCTTTCCAGTCCCTTCCAATATTCAGCCTTCTCTGCGGGAGACCTCCATATCAAAGGATGGGCGGCTGGCTCTTCGTCGTCGATGTCGTCGCCGAAGGAATTGTCGCCAGAGGCAACTAAAGGGATGGTAGTCCAGAGTCGAGGATCAGCCAAAGCCGTGGTGCGCAAGCGACGACAAATGAGAAGGAGAGGAGTATGGACACGATGCTTCCATGTGCGCGTTGGGAGAGGGCGATGTAATAGAGGAAGATCTCGCTCAGGACTTCTCCCGGAAGAGCGCGGACTGGGGGATAGGCAAGGAGGGACTTGTGTGTCTCGATAGAACAACGTAGACGCGTCTGCTCTGTGACTGCGTCGGAAATGAGTTGTTCAAGTTCTAGTTCGTCGTCCAGACTGTGTCGACGGGTTCCGAGCACGGAGAGACGCTCGTCTAGCAGGCGGAGTGCCTCTTCATCCTTTAGAATTTTCTGCATCGTTCTGCTGTCACAAAGAAAGTTGGGGGGCACGAAGTCCGTGATCCTAGGAGCTCTCTGTTGAGAGAGACGTTCGCGAAGTGAGGAGCTCTGCTTACCTTTGATATTGAGATGTTGATGGTGGTGGTTCCTGGAAGAGGCAGCAAACCGGGTCCCATTGTCAACAAGTATACCATCGCTTGATCATATCGTCCCCTTTGACCCAATGAGTCTGACGGCGGATTGGTTTTTCTACTATATGGGCACGTCGAGGCATTATGTCCTTAGTCACTTGTTTGGCGTAGGCGTTTATCAAATTCACTTTCACTTTGACCCATCGCTTTGAGCAGAATGTACTGGGTACGAAGGAACTTTGGGTGATATGTGAGACTACGACAAGAAATACACTACAGACAGGTATACTCAATGCTCATACAAAATACGGATGTCAAAACCCTCGTTCACGAATGCCTTGAACATGGCCGCGTGCTCCTCCTTCATAATCTCATCGTTTTCTTTCTGGGTTACGAATACTACGATATTCACTTCTCTCAGCGTCGCAATACGATATCTCTCCACCTGATATGCAGAGCGCGAGTGGATCAGCCCCTCCACCATATTCAACTGCTGTGGACTTGTCCCAACCCAGAGAACCGTCAACGCTGGTAACGGACGATTTGGACCACCAGTGGAAAGTAAGTCC